GAGCCTCAAAAAGTGAAGGCACCTGGCTGAATGCCACTTCTATCTGTGTTGGTGTTTGGAAGAAAACTGGACAAACAGGACAGCATTTGTCTTGCCCAGTGAGTAAGTAGTATTGGAAGTTGTATGGCCTGTGTGAATGTTGAGATTGGAGAAAAGCAAGCCAGAGAGTGGCAATTGGACTCCCACCAGATAAGAACAAGGAATCTTGGATATGACTGTATTGTAAACCAGGCTTTCTTTGCTTGTTTGAGAAGGAAACTAAGGGCATGACTGTCTCCTGTGAGCGGTAGATCTGGGAATACACCCTAGATTTCAACACTTTCCCCCTCTTATCTTTCAGGCCTGCATATACTCAGCACATCTATTTCTGTCCCCTTTCTAAAGTACATTGAATTTTCATGATACTAAGTTCATTAGCTGGTCTTTCCTCTGCTAGGGGAAAGCTTGATTTAAGGTGAGAATATTACATGTTTTGATGCAATGCTTGGTCAATATTTCCATGCGTTAAGTAAAATTAAGTTGGGGAAAACAGGTGTGGACTTAGGAAAATATGTTCCGATCTTTCAGTTATATTTAAGAATATAAATATGAACTTAACATATTTTGTTTAAAATTTGTTTAAAAACATTTGGGAAAGTTTACATTTTACCTATAAAGGTAAAATAACTGGTTTATATGCATTACATATTATGTATGTATATATATATATATGAGTCAATTTATATATGCTTAGCAATACAAATAAACACATAAAGATCTAAAAAGCCAATATAAACTAGAGCTCTGTAAAAATTAGATTCCTACAAATAAAATGAATGTATGTAAAAAAATAAATACATGGATGTAGGAGAGAAAGGAGAAAAGAATTTTAAACTCTAAGGTAAGATACATTTATTTCCTTGTTCCTTAGTATCTTTTTTTACATATATTGCTATTGTGGGATAAGATTGAAAAACATTTAACAATTAGTGTGCATTGCACAGGTCCATCAGATAGACCCAGGCTATAAGCCACTCAGCATCTGTCTTGGTTCTATGAAGTAAAACAAAGATGTGCCAAACTAATCTCTAGCTAGTCTCCAGGAAAACACAGAAATAGGCAAAGGCTAGACAATGATTTTTCATGCTCAATTACATACGTGTGTGTGTGACATTCATAAACATCCTTACAGACTTTATCTCATTTTCCCAATTTCTCATTTCTATGGTAATTCTTTGCATCCTTAGCTATTTCAGACAGAGTCAAGGTTAATGGATAAAAACAGAAGAAATAGCCAGAATGATTATCATGGCTTTCTATTATTTCTCTGATGGTTCTGTTGCATGGTAGTCTGTTACCTCTCTTTACGGAAATATAGGGAGAACACTTTGTAGAGAGCATATTACACAGCAAGCTCCTATCTATCTACCTATGTATTTCTCTCTCTCTCTGTCTTTGTCTCTGTCTCTGTCTTTGTCTCTGTCTCTATTTGTCAGTCATCAGTCTTGAACTCAGGGCCTGAATGCTGTCCTTATGTTATTGTTTCCTTCTGGGGGGTTGTTTTTTTTCCTAAGGCTAGTGTTTGATATATGTAAAACAAAACAAAACAAACCCACAGAAATTGTTCTAAAAGAGATATAATAGAGCGAAGAAGCAAACACAAGAGGAGAAAAGACAGCTGTGCAAACTTTTACCAGCAAAGATTGAACACTTTAGAGTGTAATAGTATCAGCATTCTGAAAGTATTATATCTACCCTTCTCTGCCATGATCTGTCCAAACTTTATAACACCAAGGAGAGTACCATCTATCCACTACTGTAATTTGCTTAAAATATAATTTGTTGAGCATAGGTTAGGGAGGAAAGTTCTTGATGTTATACTTTGATTTTGTCCGTGTTTGAACCACGTTATATTTGTTTTAATATACCAAACATCTCTCAGATGTAGATATCATTATCATAACGTTCAGAAGGAAAAAAATCAAAGGGCAATGAGATTCAATGAGTATCTCTAAGTGACACAGTTACTGAATGCTGGGGATCTGTTCTGCTCAGAGATGGACGGTAGGAAGGTGGCAGCCACAGGAAGTTCTATGTAACGTCTTCCAGAGTGGTAGCATGCTAGGGCCATGTGGTAAATACTGTCAGACATACAGACATGGATACCACACCCGATTCTGATCAGAACCTGGGCCAGGATCATGGTTCACACTTTATGGTTCATCATCTCTTCCCAGGCTAGAAGCAATGAATCATTCTACCTCTTTACATATATCTGCTCTTAGCAAAAAGAAAGGACTCATTGTGGCATTTAGTATAGGTCAAGCGGAAACACCTGCTTTGCCTTGCTTATCACATTTCAGAGACAGAAGGAGGGTGCAAATTTTCGAGTTGCTTCAATGACTGAAATGGATGTATCAATTCTACACTCTACTTGTACTTTTATCAGTCTAATACGGTCACTAAACACAAGATCTTGTGGAGTGATCATTCCATTGATTTTACTCTCACAGGAGAGACTTAAATAAGAATATCATCATTATTTTGCCATTTCTCTTGATTTATTTTCCTCCTTTTCTCTCACCTTCAGACAAGAGCTAATTAAATAACCTGTTTTGTGCTTAGTAATACAGCTTGAGTATCCCTTTTATGTACTCCAGTCTAAATTGCAAAGACATTATAAATTAGACCATGAAATGCTCATGGAAATTTCAGAATGAAAGGCCATTAATTGCAGAATGAGATTTAAGCCTCCTAAATTGGTGATAAAATATTCTAACACTAGTATTTATCATGTCTATGAAGACACGTTCGCCATCAAGATAAGTATAAAAGCCAAGCAAAAGGCAGAATTGTTGCCAACCTGAGATATACAGACGGATTCTAGACTTTTTGTGCTTCCTGATTACTTTTGTTGGTGCTTTGGGAAGCAGCAGTTTTATATGGCATTTATCTTTGGCTAGATCCCAATGCATTAAAGTCAGTATTTCATTACACCTCTAAGTTGACTCACCCAAACAGATATTGTTGAGTAGGCATTTAAGTACAAATGCATTCTGGGTAGGGACCAGAAGGGACTGTATTTTTTATTTTATTTTCAATTTTCTAATTTTATTTTATTTTTTTAGCTATTTCTTACAAAATATCCCTAGAGCATATCTTTTGAAAGTTTCTTCATCATTACTTCTGGAAAGATAGCAATGACAGCTTTGATAGAAATGTTACCTTGCTTACTTTTCTCTTTAAACAGACAGTTGTTCAGTTTTATTTAGTGCAGTGCATCTTCAACACCAACATGTTAATTTAACATTAGTCACATGGCAAGCCAGATGCTGAGATCCAGTACAAAGTATAGTATGATCTTTGCTTGATCACAATGTGAGCAGGGCATGCAAGGAAAGCTGATTAGTAAATATAGATAAACAAGGTGAAGAGGGAGAGCTGGAGCAAAAACTAAACAAAACAACAAGAAAAACCCCACAGGCCAGGCACTGGTGCCTCACACCTGTAATCCTAGCTACTCAGGAGGCTGAGATCTGAGCATTGTGGTTTAAAGTCAGTCCAGGCAGGAAAATCCATGAGCTTCTTGTCCCCAAGTAACCACCAGAAAACTGGAAGTGATGCTGTGGTTCAAAGGGGTAAAGTGTTAGTCTTGAGCTAAAGGGCTCAGGGAAAGCATCCAGGTCCCAAGTTCAAGCCCCACAATTGACTAAAACAAAAGGAAAAGAAAAGAAAAAAAGAAAACACACACACACACACACACACACACACACACACACACACACATACACACACACACACACAAACAAAAGAAAGATCCAGAGAACAAATCAATGTTCCTGTTGCCAGGGAGAAGCTGGGCTTTCAGTTTTATAAACCTTGTCTAAAATAATACTCTCAATCTTTTTGTTCTTTGGAAACCGGTGAATCACCAGTGCCCAGTTGGAATCATTACATTTTGGTTATGTGGCTCTGGGATTTAATATTTAACTTATTTGAAGTGAGCCTCAGTTGCCTCAACTGTGATTTCTTGCCTTCTTTGCCTCTCAAGTTGTGAAGATTACTGGAGTGACCTACTGTTGTGGGCCCAACCAGTGTTATATTTGCAGAAACTGAAAGACTAGCACCTATCAATTACCCAAGTGAGAGTTTGTCACTACAGGAAAGAAAGACTTGCTACCCAGGAGGCTAAGATGTAAAGATTGAGGTTGAAAGCCAGCCTGGGCAGAAAAGTCTATGTGACTCTTATCTCCAATAAACTATTCAGAAAAAGCCAGAAGTGGCACTGTGGCTCAAGTGGTAGAGCACTAGCCTTGAGCAAAAGGAGGCTTAGCAATAGCACCCAGGCCCTGGCAGGGTTCAAGCCCCAGAACCAGCAAAAAAATAAAAAATAAATAAAAATAGAAATAAAGAAGAGCATTTCAGGAAGAGGGAGCAACATATGTACAAACCTCTGGTAGACAAATCTAGGCCTTGGACTGTAAGACTGGTGTACCATGCATTGAGGACATTTAGCTAATTAAGGTGAAATTCATATATTTTATTGAAATAATCTCATTACAGAGCAGGAAACTAAATCTTGTGTCTCCACCTAGCCAAGTATCATGCCTTGACTGTTATAAATCCAGAGGTGATTTGGATAATTTAAGCCTTTCTGCACCCCAAATTCTAAATTACACAGAATTGATTAATGAGCTAATTGTTCAACCTTTCACTTAATGCTGCCTGTGTGCACAATTGAAGTGAGAGAGAAACAAGAAATAGATTCCTTTGTTATTTATATTCTTCTGCATCCATTCCTGTTGAGGTTGGCAATTAGATTTCTAATTAGTCTTCCAAAATGGATTCATGGGGTTATTTCTTACACAAGTAGAAAAAAAAGCACTGGGGACCAAATTCAGAAAGCATTAAACTTTTCTTATTTAAAGCTTTGTGTGTCAATTACATCAACTATCATTTCATATTCAACCTCTGATGGCGAAAGATCAGGGTGAACAAAATTGGATAGTTGGATAACTCACCATCATTCCGCAGTATTAGTGGCGTGGGGGGGCCCAGGACCTTGTGGTTTGTCACAGTATTTGTAACCACGCAGGTATAATTCCCAACATCTGATTTTTCTACTTTGGCAATGTATAGGTTTCCAGTCTCTTGAGAAACGAAGCGACGATTATCCTGATAGGAAGGGTATTCATTGAAGATCCAGGCATAGCTCAGCTCTGAAAAGCAAAAAGAAACCTCACTACAAATATATTTCTTTTTCCCCCCTTTTTTTGTGGGGCTTGAACTCTGGGCCTGGGTGCGGTCCCTTAGCTCTTCAGCTAAAGGCCAGTGTTCTACCTCTAGAGCCACAGCATTACTTCCTACAAATATATTTCTTTTTTTTCTGGATAAGGGAATTTTACTGTAATCCAGGACGGAAATGGTTGAGTTAGACATGTGCACTGTTGCCAGGTACCTGTAATCCTAGCTACCCAGGAGGCTGACATATGGAGGATCACAGTTTGAAGTCAGTTGGGGCTGAAAAGTTCATGAGACTCTCATCTCCAATTAACCACCAAAAGTCTAGAAGTGGAGCTATGGCTCAAGTTTTAGAAAAAACTTGAGTGAAAAAGCTAAGGGACAGTGCCTATGCCCTAAGTTTAAGTGCCAGGATTGCCACCAAAAAATATTGTGTGGTCAAAGAACAACATTTTTGCAAATCCTTATTTATCCTACAAACGCCAGTGTTATAAATGGAGTCATATCTGAAACTGTTCCTTTAAGACTTCTTATTTTTCTTAGGGCTTAGGTAAATGTTTTACAAATGAACACAGGAGTTTCTGCTGTCCATTTCAGAGAACCCTAAATGACACTGAGTTTCTACAGTTTGTTTCAGTGCACTCTTCTGCTTTGAAAACATAAGAAAACAACAACCACAAAAATCCCATGAACGTCTGCTGCTCCAGGCTCTGCAAACTTCCCCTCTAGGCAGCGTGAACTCCAGATGGATCCAAGGCTGAAAATGGTAGATGAGCTATTGGTACCAATTAGTCAAAATTTTATCTTTGAACTTGTATTTGGGGGGAGCAGGTGGGAGTGGGGTGGGAGGGGAGGTGGGACCTCTGGTCTTGGAACCGGTTGGCTGAGTTACTGTAGGTCACGATAGAATCTCAGGTTAAGTTCTACATGCTTGAAACGTCCTTGAAAGATGGCAGAAAGGCCCCTAGAGTGAGTGGAGGTCACTCTCATTATTGTGAAAGGAATTGGTGTGTAATCCTTTGCTGGAACCCAGTGCTAACTGACCTCAACAACTGAATGTGCAACAGGAAGCACATTTTGCCTCCATCATCAAAAGCAGAGTCTAGAAGGTTCTGCTCTCTTTTATCCCCACATGGTAACATTTGCACATGCTTTCTTCTAGAGTCATAATTATATCTCTGAGAGAATAGCTAATCATTTTATTTAGGCATGTGCATGTAATTAGAAGTAACCCCATGCTGATGGCAAGAGGAAACATCAATAAACAAATGCTCACAGCAGAAGACAACTTTCCTCAAGAACTAAAATCCCCCAGGGAAGGAAAGACCCCTATATTAGGTCATGAAGAAGCTCAGTCCAATATGGCAGCCTCCATCTAAGGACTAGAGATGTGAACAATGGTCTTCTCCCTGTACCCAAAAAGTGAGCAAAACCTGCTCAGGTAAACCCAGTCATCTCTCAGTGCCTCGGTTTTCTCTTCTGAACAATTTCTTTTTTTTTCTTTTTTTGGGGGGGCGGTCCAGTCATGGGGCCTGAACTCTGGGCCTGGGCGCTGTCCCTCAGCTCTTCAGCTCAAGGCTAGCGCTCTACCACTTGAGCCACAGCGCCACTTCTGGCTTTTTTCTTTTTGCGTATGTGGTGCTGAGGAATCGAACCCAGGGCTTCAGGCATGCAAGGCAAGCGCTCTACCACTGAGCCACATTCCTTGCCCTGAACAATGAATTCTGTAGTAGGCATCTGCCTCATTATCTTCTAGCTGGAGGCAAAGCATTCAGAAGGTAAGAAGACCAAAGTTTGAACCTGAGTTACATAACAGAATCATTTAACATCAAGTTGATGTTAGGTGAAATGAACCCCAAGATAAGGACTCAACTGGTTTTTCTTTCTTGCGATTGTTTCTAACATATTTATAAGATGATTTCTTTATTGCTTTCTATGTCCCTCGCCCACAGTATAACCCTTGCTTTCACTGTATTTTATGTTGGTATAATTTGTGGAGGGGAAGGGAAAAAACAAATTGTTTAAATAGGGATACAGGTGGACCCATTGCAACAATGAGATGTAGAAGATGTTACGTTGAAAAGCAAACTTTACAACCTTGGCGGGCGGGGGGGGGGGTGGGGAGGGGGGGAGGATGGTGGGGTGGGGGGGGAGATGGGAGGGCAGGGATGGGAAGGGGAAACAAAGGAGGAGGCAACAATGCTTGATTAGAAATGTACTCATTACCTTGCTCATGTAATTGTAACCCCTCTGTATGGTATTTTCACCATAAAAATTATTTAGAAATTATAAAAAAGAGAAGTATTTAAACTCTCTCTTTCCCCTACCTCTCTCTTTTTCTTTCTTTTGGTACTAGGATTAGAACTCAGAGTCTCTCTGGGTATGGTGGTGTGCTCCTGTAATTGCAGCCATGTAGCAATAATGTTGCAGCCAACAGCAATAATGACAAAGCTAAACAAAAGTATTATGGGGGTAGCTTAAGTGGTAGAGTGCTTGCTTAGTACAAGGCCCTGAGTAGAAACTCCTGTATAACCAAAAAACAAAGGAAAATAGAAATAAAGTATAGTCAGGAAGGATGAGTTCAGTCATACTTGGATCTTCACTAAACACAATCGACAGGATAAGTTCAGGCACCCTGGGAGGTACTGTAGCATCCAGGGAGGAAGCAATTCAGTGATAACACTTGCTCATACTGTCCTGTATGATTATGGATGAGCACACTGTCATGATACCTTGCCTGCTCTCTCTCAGAGCCCAGTTTGCCTTGTTGCTTGAGATCATGCATGTGATCCCTGGGCCTGAGCGCTGTCCCTCAGCTCTTCAGCTCAAGGCAGGCGCACTACCACTTGAGCCACAGCGCCACTTCCTTCCATGCATTTTAATGAATGGAAGAGGTGCATCCGTATTAGAAGGAAATGAACATAGTTGAATAAAGAACAAATGACAGCAAGATTAACCAAAGGAAGAAAAGAAAATAGAAAAAAATCAGAATGGGAAACTTGTAATAATTTTGTGAACTTATGACACTGACAGTATAAGTTTTCATGCTGGTATTATAACCAGTTCTTATGCTGTAGAAAAAGAAACACTATAGTTGCCAGGAAGAGACACAAAGAGATGGAGTTAAGCAGCCTACCAATGCTGGCCCCAAAGTCTTAGGTAGTGAACTGGAAAAATCACAATGAACTAAGTGCTCTGAGCCTCTCACACAGGGGAAATCTTTCATCACGATATTAACTTAGTTTCCTTCACAACAAACATCACCCTTTGAAATACTGTGTTTTTACTCATATATATATATATACATATATGTATATATATATATATATATATATATATGCACACATACATACATACACATATACAAGTATATACACATATGTATATATTTTTCCAGGGCAATCAGGAAGGAGTAAAATGGATATCATGCAGTAAGAATATAATATGAGAAAAGGCAAAAAGTATAGGAAAGCTACAAAGTAGCAACAGATTACTTGGTCTAGCAAGGGTCAATGTGTAGCATCAGAATGTATCAGAGCAGAGGATGACCTGAAGTTTCTGGATAAACTCCCATTTCAGTACTCCATTAGGAAACAAGAGCCCTTGATATTTGAAAGTAAAGAGCAACATTATTACACCACTCAACAGACAATACGGATTTCCCCTAAGAACCAAAATCTATTTTTATCAGAACAGAACATTAATCCATTGGGTTCTGTGAAATGCTATCAACATTCTGAAAAGAAAAGCCAAGTAAATAAAACAAAAATAAATCCTTGTGAGCTGCAACGGGAAGAGAAAAAAAATGTATCCCACTCAGTTTGATTTCCCCAGGGATTTCCATGCAATATTTATCCTTCCTCAAAACTTGACAGATTTCTTTTGATAAGTTTTCGCACACTAATTGCTCTGGAAGTGACAGACAGTTTGTGTCCCATTGGCAATTTGTAACCACCGAGTAAACAGATCCTTGGAATGTAATATATTACATAGATTTCAAAGCTTCTGATGCTCAATTGGCAATACTGAGACTAGTTATAATACAATGCTAATTAAGGCGGAAGGACCTAGCAATGGTTCTATGATTTTTAGCATTGAGAGCTATTGGAAATTAACTCTGAAACTTCACTCGCTCAGTAGGTTCTTTCCTTCATACCATTTGCTAATAATGAAAGATAGGTCATTTGCTATTCTCCTGAAAAATAAAAGACACCAATAAGACCATTTTAAAATGAGGTGCCTGTTGACCCAATTCTCCCAAGGTGAATGTGTTGTCTGCATGGTTACTCTGAACTTCTTTCCACACGTTTCTTTCTGGAGTTGGATAATGCATCCTCATGTTGAGTTCTAGTCCAGCAGTAACTAAGAAGGCAGCTTTTAAAGAGGCTTCTCTTTAATACTTAAATTTTCCAGGATGATAGGATCCTTGTTCAGCCCCTGCAATTTTAGAGACCAGAAAGCTGGCGTGAAGGAAAGGACAAGAGTTGATGGTTACAGAGAATTGGGGACAAAGCAGGGAATGGGGGACAGGCTCAATGTTCAGAGAAGACGGCTGGGTTAGGACACCAGCCGTTTAGGGCTAGTTTAGTTTGGGGCTAGAAGAGGTTTAGTTCTCTTATCTGTGAATTGAAGGAGTAGGATGAGATGACTTATTTTGTTTTTAATGGTTTCGTGTTAGAATTCTGTACATTGTAACTGTGTGTTTTACTCACATTGACAGAATGGTCTGGAAGAAAAGTGAGATCTAAAGAAACCCTGTATCTGTTAAAAATCACCCTGGTAGTTACTGGTAAACCAAAGAATTAGACAGTTACTTAAAGTACTGGTATGTAGGCCATCTATCAAAGTATGTATAGGAAAAAAAATTAAGGTGTTTAGATTTGGGTCCCATCTGTAAGACATTTCATTATAAAAATGCAAGTACTCTCTACTTTGAAAGAATCTGAACTCTGAAGCAGTTTTGGTGCCAAGCACTTTG